AAATAAAATCTTAAAAAAAAAATGTTTTCCTCAACAGGGCAAGAATCTGCCTTCCATGTTACTGTAGGGGACAGTTTTACCAAATGTTTTATCATGACATAAAATGGATCCAGCACTGTGTTTCCTCACTGCCCACCACCCAGCCAGGTTTTCGCCCCATTTCAAGGAGCACATTTTCACGTTAGTTAGGGTTAGGATAGGCTATGATGCAGTAATAAATAAACCTATATATCTCATCCACTTAATGCAAGTGAAGTTTCCTCCTTGCCCAGGGCATGGTTTAGTGCATGAATGGTTTAAGGGGAGCTAGGGGGCTCCTGTTCCATGCAGTCAAGAGGCTGCTACAACAAAATACCACAGACTGGGTAGCTTGCAAACAACAAATATTTATTTCTCACAGTTCTGGAGGTTCAGAAGTTCAACATCATGATGCGAGCGGATTTGGTGTGGCGGCTGGTGAGAGCCTACTTCCTGGTTCATAGATGGCTGTGCGCTCACTTGGTGCCAAGGGACTAGAGATCTCTCTGGGATTCTTCTCTAAGGACACTAACCCCATTCATGAGGGCGCCACCCTCATGACCCGATCACCTCCCAAATGTCCCTCCTCCTAATATCATCACTTGGTGGATTAAGATTTCAACATATGAATAGGGTTGGGGGTGGGGTTCAGTCCACAGCAGGACTTAAGGAGGCAGGTTCTTTCGTGTGGTGGTTCTGCCATCTCCAACATGAGGACTGGCCTCAGAAGCAGGAACCGCAAGGCAAATCCCCAGATCTCTAACCCAGAAACTTGTCACCTGAGAATCTTGCAGTCCGTGACCTTCAACAGGTCATAGAAATCAGTCGGGCTTCAGCACCCCGCTGGGACCTTGAGCACAGAGTCATGTGGGCTCTTGTGAATTCCAGAACTGACGCCGGAAACCCAGGAAGCCCCCTAATTGGGTTTGGGACCCAGCAGCCTGGTCATGGAGTCTGGAGAGACTTTTGGGGTGAGGGCTCACCTAAGCCAGGAACCTGACATCAGAAACCTTGGGTTCAAGTCTTGGCTTATGTCTGACTAGCCATGCCTCTGAGCTTCCATAGAAATGGGTACCCTACGGGCTGCATGAAATGGTTTCAAGACTTAAGGAAGGTGATGTTTGGGAAGATGCTTTGAAACTAAAAGGCACAAGACAAATAACTACTTAATATGACTCATCTGGCTTTTGTGGAGCCCTTCCCCTGCGTGGCCGACAGCTCACTTCCATTCAAAGATCGGGGTGAAGTAGCCCACGGCAGCTCCTTCCAGAGCTGTTAGGTGGGATTCTAGCTAGACAAAACCCTCCTTCGGGGACTCTTTGGCGCTCCCTCCCAAAGTTCTAAGGCTAACAGCCCCAAAGTCTGGGAGGTTTTGTAGCTCATGGGCCCACCACATGATGATGGAAGGGCCCAAAAGATGCTTCCAGGAAGCCATTCTCGGCCAACGCCGGACAAAGTCTGGACTCTACCCCCACCTCTGGCCCAGTCTCCAAACATTAGTCACCCTCAGCCCTCTGTCTTCACCCCACCTGTCCCCAACCCGGGCTTTGGGATTTCTCTGCGTCATTATTTTGTCCCCGGCTTGCTAACTGAAGCTTCTACTGTTGGGCCATGTGTCCCAGACCACGTCCTTCTGCCTCAGTCCCCCCAGCACTGTTTCCTAGAGCTGAATGGGAAGAGGGAAGAAATCACCAAAGAGGAGCATCTTTTTTTTTTTTTAATTTTATTTATTTATTTGAGAGAGAGAATGAGAGACACAGAGCATGAGAGGGAAGAGGGTCAGAGGGAGAAGCAGACCCCCCGCTGAGTGGGGAGCCCGATGTGGGACTCGATCCCGGGACTCCAGGATCATGACCTGAGCTGAAGGCAGTCGCTTAACCAACTGAGCCACCCAGGTGCCCCAAAGAGGAGCATCTTGATTTCAGCACATCTGACCTTAAAAAATCTCTCTTCTGACATCTGCGGGGGAACCCCAGCTGGGGAGCGTTAGCTGAAACCTCCCCTCTCCGTAAAAGGCAGACTTTGGGACACAGTGGCCCCTGCTCTAACTCTGCAATGGGGAGCTGAGGAGGAGAGGAGAAGCAGCAGGTGAACGCCGGCTGGCTGACCCCCACGGAGATGGGCCTGGGTCCTCCTTCCTCCGAGGCTTTCGCAAGGACTCCCCAGCTCTGCCTCCACTCTCTCCTTCTGCCAGGACAGATGCCAGATGACAATTTGCTCGCAGGGTCATCTGAGGCAGGAGAGACTAGGAGAGCAGGACCCCAAGTCCTAGTGGAAGGTGGCTGTGCCCTTGGCCTTTGGCCTGAGCCCTCCTGCAACCCCCGTGTGGGGCCTCGGACACTCAGCTCCCAGATCTCTTGAATTTCAGCCTTCCCTCTCCCTGTCCACAGGTCCCGACAATGGAGTGCCTTCGTTCACCTCCCCCCACCCCTCTGCCCCAAAGCCCTCTGGGGGCTGAATTCAAGTCCTGTTTCAATAATTTACTGGGAAGCTGAGGCTCAAGCACACATATTTTATTTTTTTAATATAATGAGCCCATGAGTACTTTACAGGGTAAATAGCCTAGAAGCCTTCCAGCAGGACTTCCTTGTCCTGTGGCAGGGCGCTGGGCCCTCTGGGTTCCCGTGGAGGGCTGCACCCAGGTCTCCTGCAGACACGGGTTCGGGAAAGAGGGCGTGCTCGTGTCCGGTGTGGAAAGTGTTCCCTTTGCTGTCCCTTGCAGGGCTTCCATAGACTTAGGAGCGCTGCCTGGTTTAGCTCCGAATGCAATTACTGGTGTTTTTCTTTGGCATCTAACCCATCGCGGGGACAGCATTCCAGAAAGAACTTGGGCACTCTGCTGTCTGAGCAGGCTCGACAAAGGGCACCACCATGAGGGAACAGCTGCAGGGACCCCCCCATTCAAAGTGCCCATGCGGCCTCCCTGGGGTTGCAGAGGGTGGGGGAGGCCACCATTATCCTCTTGGGGCAGCTTGGGGAAGAGTGGTCAGAGCAAATGGCTCCACTCCGGGGTTCAGGCCACTGTCCACCATACCTGGACTCTTTGGTTTTGCCCGGTGGCCCCTCCTTCTCTCCCCCCACCCCAGCCCCTCCTTTGGGCTCCCTAACCCCTGAGCACCAAGGTCACTCAACCTGGGACTTCCCCTCCCATCTGTGAAGGGATGGATCCTCTCCACCCAAGGGACACTTCCAGAATGGTGCCTGCTCAGCCTTCCTACAATCCCGGATCATCCGGCGAAAGAAGCCAGGGTGGGGAGGGTGGAGCCTCACTCTTGGTGGGAGACACTGGGGCCAAGTGGACCTGGGAATCATGGCAGGTCGGCAACGGTCTGCCACCAGAAACAGGCCCTATACTCTATTCGCTGTCCCCGGACACGGCCTCCTGGCCCCCGACGGCCTCTCTCCAGGGTCCTGGGGCCACCTCGATTGTCCAGCTCAGTCAGCCACCCGGACACTGGGCAAGTCCACCGCGGCAGCGCGGCCCAAGGGGGTGGGGGGGGTGTAGGGGGGCCCTCCGCACCACCCCCAACCCCTCCGCTCCCGCGCCTCCTTCCCTCCCACCTGGCATCCCTTCTCCCTTTCGGTCACTCTTCCTGCAGCAGGGGCTCTCGGTCCCCTTCCTGCACCCTGTCGTCCTCCTCCTTCTCCATGCAGCCCACGGTGGCGGCCAGGCCAGCGCCCACGCCGCCGCCGACCACCGCAGCCCCCGTGGCCCCCACCGCGGCGCCAGCCGCCACCATCCCAGCCTCGGCAGCCAGCGCGGCCGCCGCCATGCCCGCGCCCACCACGCCGCCCGCCAGGCCCATGAGCCCGGCCCCGACGGCGCCCCCCACGGCGGCCAGGTGGCCACAGAAGCGCATGGTGTACGAGTCCATGAAGACCTTGGCCTCGGCCTGCAGCTCGGCCTCCAGAGCCTCCAGGGTCTGCTCTCTGCCCTTGCACAGCAGGGCCGCCCCGTGGCGGGCCAGGACGGCGTCCTTCTGGGTGCACAGGAGGTTGCGCATGGTGTCGGGCAGCACCCGCAGCGCGGAGAATATGCGCTTGGTGGCCGCGTCCTGCGGCGGGGAGAAAGGGAGGCGCGCTGACCGCCCGCCCGGGAGCCCGAGGCCTGGGGCTCCCGCGCGGGGCCGCGCGGCTCACCTGCTGCCGCACGTACTCCTCGAACTCCTTCTTGGCAGCTTCCACCGTCCTCAGGTCGTGCAGCTGGGCGGCCATCTGTCCACGGCAAAGCCAGGCTGCCTCCCTCCTCCCGCTCCCGCCCTCGGCTGCATCCCAGGGCCCACGCATCCGGCCCCCCAGACCCTCCGGAGGGTTGGAGGGGGGACGTACCTCGTCCGCGGAGGCGAACCCGGGCCCGGTCCTCCCCATCCAGCCCGAGAGGTTCTGCGGGGACATCAGGGGAGGAGTCAGGGCGGGCAGGGGGGCGGCGGGCTCTCCGGGGCCTGGGGGCGGGCAGGGGTGGGGGTGCGCGCACCTTGATTTCCTGAGCTAACTGCTGCCCGGTGAGCAGGCGTCTGTCCCCCCTGGCCACGGGGCGGCCCTCGCTCCAGTACCCCGGGCAGCGGCTCTTGGCGTGCTGGGGGGCTGCGCTCAGCACGTCCGCCACGTAGGCACAGAGGTGGCCGAAATCGTCATCTGTGTCTGAGGAAGAGATTCCTCATGCTGAGGAGACCGGGGGCTGAGCAGGGCCGGGCTTTGGGAGGAGAAAGGGTGTCAGAGGCAGGGAGAGAAGCTCGCTGGGGCCAGGGGGTCGCCCGGAGGCGGGCAAGCTGGGGAGGCCTTGTCCCGGGGGACACTCACCGCAGGGGCTTCCGTGGCCTTTGCTTGCCCACCGACGCCCCGGGGCAGGCAGGAGGTAACAGCGGGCTCGCCTCCCTTGGAGCAGCTCCCGAACCTTGGGGTATTTGCCGGAGGATTTCTGAGAGACGGATGGGGAGACCTCTGAACTAGGGACCAGGCTCCTGTTCTTGGCTCCAGCGCAGGCCCCCTCAGGCCTCCCCTCCCCTTCTGCCCAGTTCCCCCCAACCCCCTTGCATCCCCTCCTTCGCACCCCTCACCTGAATGATGTCACCCACGCGGCCCAGCCCTGCCTTGTTGGAGTGGGATGAGTCACGAACTAAGAGATCTAGGTGCTGGAAGAGAAGGCGTCCTGACACCAGCAGCCTGGGGGTGTTAGGGTCTGGGGTGACGGGTCCAGAAATGGATGTCTCACCTGGATTGGCACCATCCCATAATGCCTGCCCATCACCTCGGCCACGTGGACAAACATCTGGGGGTGAGGCACCAGGGGTCATGGCTGGGTCACCCCAAGGACTGTGGCTTCCTCCCCTCTGGGCCCACTGGGGGATCCCCCACCCTCACCCCCACACCCTCCCCATCCCCCACACTCCCAGCTCTGGGACTCTCCTGCCTCTCCCAACCGGGCATCTTGTGCTCCACCCTCTGCCCTCAAACCCACCAGCCCAGCTCCAGGTCACGAACTCCTAGGCCAGAACTGGAAGGCACCCCATTACGGCCGGTCCAGTCCCCTAGCCTTATGGCCAGGGCAGGGATAGGGTGGCACCCCAGGACCAAATTTTCTCCTCACCTCCAGATATTCCAGGTCTGTATCCTTCAGCTCCGGGGAGGTGTTGAGGATCTGGAACCAAGGAGAACAAGATGGAAGAGGGTCTGCAAAGGCAAAGAGATACTGGGAAGACCCCGGTGAGGAAGGAGCTCGCAGGCCGACAGTGGGGCCGGGACCCGGGAGACAGCTGCCTGGGGGCCTCCGCCATGAGGGACCGAAGGCAGGCCCGGGAATGGTCCTGCGGACCTTCAGCGGCTCCCGGGAACCTTTGACTTCCCTTTTGAACAAACCATGTTCCCACCTTCACCGACTGCGGGCATCCCTCCCTTGCAGGGGCATCCCCAGAACCTGCGGGGGGACCCCAGACACAGGCATCTGTGAGATCAGGGTAAGCATCCCGAGCACTCCCGGGGCCAGCCCCCGGCTGAGATGTCCCTGTGCTGGAGAAAGCTGAGCCGGAGCTGGGCCGATGGGGCGGGGCCCCTGATCACAGCGCCCTCACCTGGTAGGAGCTCAGCATCGTGGTGAGGGCGCAGAGCTTGGTCCTGGTTTCTCTGCTCAGCTCGGGGCTCATGGCGTCCCCTGTGTCCACCAGGAACACGGCCACCTGTACAGGGGGTGGGGGAGGCGGGGAGATGAACCGAGGGGTCAGGCCTGCCTCACTCTGCCATGTGCTCCCCTCCAACCCTCCCTCTGTCCACCGCATCTTCCTGTACCTGCCGCCAAAGCTTGCTTTCTCCATTCCCCTCCCCTTTGTCTATGATCTCCCCATCCCCCCCAAACCTCTTCACCCTCTCCTCCCCCGCCCCGCAGTCCTCACCTCCTGTGCCCTTCATGGCCCTCACCTTCCTCCCCTCCTTCCCCAGCAGGAAAGGGTGGCTCCACATCCATATGCCCCTGGTAAGGCTGTTGGCACCCCACCTGAACCCCTGCAGGGACCCTCCTCCTCTCGGCCAGCTGCCCTCCCCTGACTCCTGCAAGGCAGAAAAAAGAGCATCCGTTGGTCCATCCAGCCCCCATGCCCCTCCCAATTCCAGGCTGGGACCCCTAAACTGCCCCCCTGCCCCAGCCCTGCCCTCACCAGGCTTGGCAGGCCCCGGAGCAGGTGGTTGAGGAGGAAGGTCTTCCCTGAGTGCTGCTCCCCCAGGACAGCCAGGAGGCAGACAGGGGTGTCCCTGGCCAGGGGGTGCTTCAGACAGCGGTTGATGGCCCCCATCCTCAGGATGAGGCCTCCAGAGGTATTGATTCGCACGAGCAGCAACGGCTCTGCCCTCACAGCACAGGTCTCCTGCGTCAGGAGAAGGAAGGTTCCCTGTGCCACCAGGCGCTGCCAGTGGGACCCCAAGTGCGGCGTGCATCCGACCCCAGACTCTGTTCCCCACCCTGACATCCCAGAATAGAGCCGGAGCCGCTGGGCCCCTCAGGGCTCGGACCCTGGTCCCTCCAGCTCCCCCCACCACCCCACCAGCCCCAGCACCGAGGCCTGGGCCCCGGACCTGCAGCACGGAGGGCAGAGGCCTCTGTGGCAGGAGCTTCATCTTCTCCCCCAGACTCCGGAGGCCCTTCTTCTGCTTGCAGATCTTCCGGCACTCGGGGCAGCAGGCTGGCTGGCAGCCGGGGACACGGTGTGTGCTGAAGCACCGCGTGCAGAAGTCATGGCCGCAGTCCAGCGAGATGGGTTCCCGCAGCCTCTCCAGGCAGATGGAGCAGGCAGGAAGCTCCCGGGGCACCGCGGGCCGGGACCCCAGGCCCAGCTCTAACTTGGGGAATGGCGTGTGGGACCTGGGGTGGAGGGGGTGGGGGGCGGCAGAGCAGGATGTTGGGAGCAGCTTGGGGGGGCATGCAGGGAGTACGGCGGGCTGGGAGTTTGGGGGCAGGTGCTCCCAGAGAGGCCAGCTCACTGACTTGCACCCCAGTGCCGGGGACGGCAGAGCCGTGGGGACAGTGCTCCTGGCAGGAGGCACCCGGATGGGGTCCTAACCCTGCCCCATTGCAGCCGCCACCGCCACCCCGGGCGGCCACGGGCAGGCTCCTGCATGGACTGATCTGGGCCCCCCGTTTCCTAACTGGCCAAGAGGAGAGGTTAGCAGCCCTGGGCTCATGGGGCCATCAGGGCACCCTGCCCGGTGCCTGGCACAGACCTTCCCGAAACCCCTCTCCCACAGCCTTCCACTGCAAGGGCTCCTCCTGGGAGTTACTGGCTTCAGCCGGAGCCCCCCCCCCGCCCCCTGAGGAGTGACACCTGCATACACCGTGGGGCCACAGGGAGAGGGTGGGAGCCTCCGGTGGTGGGGCAGATGGCTCTGGTTCTTAGAAGATGCCTTCTGCCCTCCCTCTTGGAGCTGGATTTGGTCTCCAAGCAGTACCCACCAGATTTTCCCTGTCCCTCCCTCCACAGCAGATCCAGTTTCGGGCCCTCCCCTGGGAGAGCCCGTGGGACGCCGGGGGCCACAGGGCCCGGGTTCCTGGACCCACGGAGAGCGAGCAGGGTTTGAAGCAGTCCTGCCGGCAGGCCCCACCACTTACCAACTGTTGCGACTGCTTCCCACAAAGCTCCGTTTTCTCTCCTTGGAGACAAAAATGGGGGGCGGGGGGTGGGAATAAAACGTTATCTAGAAAAGAATCCAGGTTTCTGTCTTCCTCCTGGGTCTCAGTGGCCTCCATCCCCCCTTCTGCAGACCCATCCCTTGTCCCCAGGTGGCCCTTTCCCACCCCCACCCATTCTGCCCCCCCGCACCCCCCCCAGATGTCAGGACCCAGGACTTGCCTGTTTGCCCAGCCAGTGACAAAAGGAGATGATTGACAAGGCGGACCTCGGCATGGGGGGCGCTGGGAGTGGGGAGAGGTCTGCAAGCAGAGAGCAGAGGCCCAAGACAGAGACCCGAGATCGGCTGCCACAAGGATGGCTTTCCTCCTGGAAGGGCCGAGCTGTGGCAGGTGGAGGGTGGGTGGGTGGGGGATGGTCTCCCCAGAGGAGCCGACCCGGACTCGTCAGAGCTGGAAAATAGATGTGACAGTCGGGAAAGAGGAGGCTGCCTCTGGACTCACCCCAGGGGGAGGAGACAGGACTGCGGGAACCCGGGCTCCGGAGGAGGGAGGGACGGAGCCGGGCCCAGAATCCCTGGCTGAGGCTGGGATGCAGGCGAGAGCTGAGGTGGTGAGTCGCCATGGAGACGGAAGGGAGAGATGAGGACAGGGAGGGGGGAGGAGGGGTGGAGAGAGAGAAGCCATATGGGTGCGTGGCAGAGATGGAGCTGTGGGCAGGCACTGCCCCTACTGGTCCAGCCAGGGTTCTTCCGGGGCCACCGAGCACGGTGTGCAAAAGGAGGGGTGTGGGAAACGGGGACGGCCCCGCCCCAGCTGACCTGGAGAGGGACAGGGAGCCTCCCTTCCGTCACCGGGGGAACATTTTACTGAGCACCCGCTCTATGCGGGGCCCCAGGATGCTGGCCTATGGCATGTGGTCCTGCGCCTTCCCTCCTGGAGCCGAGTCCCCAGCCCCCCTGGCGTCTCTGACATTGACTCTGTGACTCCTGGTGTCTTCCCCTTCCCATGGTTTTCACGCAGCTTCAAGCTTGTGACCATCCCCTCTGGACCTTCTAACTGCCTCTTGACTGGGCTCCCCCCATCTGCTGCGCAGCGCACAGCCAGAGCTCCCCCCCCCGGCCCCCCGCCCAGCACAGCTGCTCCATGCGGCTCCATGCTGCTCCAACACTGGCCATAGCTCCCTACAACCATCAGATCAAAATCCAAACCACCTGGCCTGTACCTGCGGGCCTGAAACTTCCTCTCCGGGCTCTGCCCTCTCTCCCCCTTCCCTGCTTCGGCACCTTGGCTCCGTGTTCCCCCTGCCTGCAGTAGGGGGCTCCCCCTCCTCCCTCCGGAGAGACCCTCACAGGCCCAGCTCAGATGCCATCCGCAACCCCCCCCCCGCCCGGGGCCTGCCTGCCTCCCCTTTCCTGACTGGACGTGATCTGGCCATCAGGTGGCTCGTGATCAGGTACCTGGTTGTGATAGGTTACAAGCGGCCAAGGCTCTGGAGCCAGACTGCTCCTGGCTTGCTTCCCAGCTGACCTATATGAGCCAGAGGCCCTGGGTGTTTGCTTTCACTCCTCTGAGCTCTGAGGGGGTCACAAGTACGTACAGAAAGCCACTTGCCCAGGCGAAGTTATTCTTAAGCCCTAGGTGCTAGGATGCAGAGGGGCAGGGGGATGGATTCACCCGGAGAAGTCCAGTAGAGACCTTCCCTAGCAGGCGGGGCTGGATATTGCTCACGCCTCACTCTGGTCTTTCACACTTGGAAATGGGATGGCACTGATCACACACCCAAGAAACTGGCCCTGGTCACTCTGGCTTGCCGTGTGGATGACAGATCAGGACGGGGAGAGAGAGCTGCTTGCTGTGAGCTACTGTGGGAACCGGCCCCGCAGAGCGACAGGCCCGGGGAAACTTTTTGCATCCTGGGGCCGAGAACCTCCTGCTCCTGGAGAAAGTCCAGGCCTCTGTCCCTTTGCTCTTAGAGGCCCCTGCTGGTATCTGGGGCTCTGAGGGGCACCCCTCGCCCAGGGAGACCGACTGGGGGGGTTAGGTTTGGACGGCCCCATTCTATCCACGAGGCTCTGTAGGCCTGTGCATGTTTCTACCGTCTCTGAGAAGGATTGAAACCTGATGGGAGCATGAGAATCTCCAAACTACAAGAAGAAAATGTCAAATCAGACGTAATACCTGCTGAGTTTGGCACCTGCTACCCTCTACATGATGTCAACTGGTAAAATCAACTCGGCTTATCCTCTGTGAAGTCAGAATCAAATCACGAGGGCCACTGAGTCAAGAAATGTTTCCTGAGCACCTGCTAAGTGCTGCGCACCGAGCTGGATTCTGGGGTAGTCTTCACATGGTCCTACACACTAACAAGTAGTTTGTTCTTACCAAATTCAACACTGTAAAGATTATACAAATCCTCTTTCAAAACTTCAGGGCAGGGGCGCCTGGGTGGCTCAGTCGGTTCAGCGTCTGCCTTCGGCTCAGGCCATGATCTCAGGGTCCTGGGATCAAGCCCATCCCTGGGCACCCTGCTCAGCGGAGAGTCAGCTTCTCCCTCTCTCTCTGCCCCTCCCCCCTGCTCTCTCTCTCAATTAAATAAATAAAATCTTTAAAATGAATAAAATAAAAAATTCAGGGCAAAAAAAAACGTCTGTTCCGCGTGGGCTACGGGCAACGCTTGTTTGGGTGTGTCTGCTCTGATGTGGAGGGAGAGTTCCCCAAGGTCCAAGTTCCTGAGCATTGCAGGTAAGCCCCGCCCAGGAGGGGGAGGGGACACTAGCAGGTGGCCTGGTGCCCCTACGCAGGGACCACAGTGTCTGAAAAGGAAAGGAAGAAACTCTGCTCTGCCTCGCCCCTTGGTTTCTAGCAGGTGAGGATCCCATGTGGGCCCCCCACAGTGCCCCCAGCCCACCCCAGGGACTCCTAGGTTCAGGAAAGGTCACACTGAGCCAGGCCTGGCCCTACAAGGTAGACAGGCCTCCAGGGTGCTCCTGGGAGCTGAGTGGTGATTTCAGAGAGAGCAGAGCCCACCAGGAGGGGCTGGAGCAAGAGGGTGGTCCTGGGTTTCAGGAGCTTGAGCTGTGGAGAGGGAGTGAGTTTATTCATTCATTCACCCAACAAACATGGTGGCTCCTCCCTCTCTTTGGGACCAGCTCCCAGTGGCCCAGCTCTGACCTCCTGACTTCTGGCTCCAGCTTCTGGCCTGGGGAGAGGGGAGGGCAGAGAGTTGCTTACAGAAAAACCAGGAGCCAAAAATACAGTCTCCTAGACTGGGCCCCTGTTTGGGAAGGCTTCTGGGTCCCCTGATGCAGGCAGGAGCTGATACACACACACACACACACACACACACTCATTCACCTAATCACCCCCTCTCATGCCCTTCCATGCAAATTCACACACATACACGGTCAACATAGTCCCGCTTACCCACACCGTGCACACTGTCCCTTGTCTGTATAGACCCCTCAGCACTCACGGGTGTATACTTAGACTCACAACTGTACATGCACATCCACACACTCATACGCTCACTCCCTAACACACTCACACACAAACACACTCGCATGCATGCCAAGGCCCTCCTGCTTGTGCACACTCACACATGAGTTCACACTTACTCCCATGTGCATGCACACAAGCCACATACTCCTACCCTTAGGCGTTGTCCCTCACCCTACGTGCATGGACTTACCCTGCGTAACACAACCTATGAGGGAGGTACTACATTACTCCCATTTTACAGAGGAAGAAACAGACCAGAGAGGTTAAGTCACTTGTCCAAGGTCACACAGCCATTCATGGCAGAGCTGGAATCCAAACCCAGTCAGTCAGGCTCCTGCGCCCAAACTCTCGACTACTACATGCTATGGTTCTCTGGGTGGCAGAAATTATGTCCGCTATCAGCAGCCTGTAAAGCAGTTTGTGGTCTTGCTGTGTCTCCCTATGCAGTCACTCACTTCCGAGAAGGAAAGAAAAATTGGACAAGGCCTGGTCTAGGTGGAGATTGGAATTAGGAATCAGGCAACTTCATTGTGGATGGTTCTGACCCCAGCTTGCTGTGTGACCTTGGGCAAGTCACTGATCTTCTCTGGGCCTCACTTTCCTGATGTGTAAGTGGAAGGGGGCTCAATGAGACCAGAGGGCTCCTCTCCTGCCTCCCTGGCCTGGAGCTTCCCGAGGGCACGGGGCAGGCCGGCACTCCCCCAGGAAGCCTGGCATAGCAAACACTGGCGAGCACTGGGTCCCTCCTTGTCCAGCCTCACCTCCTGGGCAACTCTCCCTTGTAGGAACCACCTGGATGCCCCCAGCACCTTGCAGACCATGGGGGGGATCGTCACACCCTCCCTCACTGTCGCTGTGCTACTGGGGCAGATGTCGGGGATGTGCCTTCTCTGGGAAGATCCAGCCCTTTCCATCCCCTGGCCTCCACCCAGCTGCCCAACGGCACTTCCCGCTGGGTGACGGGCTGGGAGAAATTGAAGGAAACGAGCCCACATCTGGGGCCGAGGGGACATCCCTCCACCCATCTCCACCCTGAACCCAGGTACGGTCTTCCCCACTCCTCCCCAAGCCCTTCCCAGCCCCCTGCCCTCTCCACCCACCCCCCAGCCTGAGCCTCAGCTCCCCTCACCAGCCCTGCATCCCTGTCCATGGTACCTCTCCCTGAATGGAAACAGCTCTCTGGTTGTGGCCAAGGGAAGACTCTGTCACTCCTTGTCTTCCATTTCTCCCACAGCTTCTTCCTCCTCTGCAGGCTCTCCAGCAGACTCATGTGCCACTCCTGGACCAGGAAGTCTGTGAAGGTCTCTACTGCAGGGAGAGCCCAGAGACCCTGCTCATTGAGCACAATGTCCTGTGTGTACGGACCCCACCCAATGTGTCCCAGAGGCCTGTCAGGTGAGTGAGGAGTCCACTCACCCACCCACCCATGTACCCTTCCATCCATCCATCCACCCACCCACCCACCCGTCCATCCATCCATTCCTCCAAACATCCATTATGCGTGCACTGATTATCTACCCATTTGTTACCCACTTATTTACCCACCTACCCAGTCAACCACGCACTCATGCATTATCCATCATTAATTCTTCCATGTATGCACAATTCATTTCCTATATTCTTTTATCCATCCATTCCCCAGATACTCACTGATACGTCTTCCCATGCATGCATATGTGCATGACTTCTTCCACCCACTCTCCCATTCACCCATCTACTCCTGCACCCACCTGCCCCTTCCTCCATCCTTTCCCCCACCCACTACCCCCCATCCATCCACCCACCCACCCACCCATGCATCCATCCACCCACCCATCCACCAATCCATCCACCCATCCACCCACCTGCCCCCATCCATCCATCCACCCACCTGCCCCCCATCCATCCACCC